CCTTTAATTGTCACAATACATTTTGGCATATATCATTAGCATCCAATCATTCACCAATTTTTCCACTTATCCAGTTAAAGGCACTAAGGAGCTTGAGACCATCCCAGCTCCTATAGAATGAGAGGCAGGATACATGTGTGAATGTGGGATATCATTAACATGAAAGATCATTTTGTAGCATTGCATAATTATTTGAAAAACTGTAAGCAAAGAAAATTGAAATCCTTGAAACAAAACGAATATTCTTCTTGTTTCTTGCTAAGTCACTTTAAGTTACTTTTGATGTCCATTAATACTCAGTATTATCAAAGTAATATAGTATATTATCAAATGTAAAAATTGTGTTTCGTTATAACCATTAAACCATGCATGACTCTTTCTTTTCTGATTCCTCCCTGCATCCTGAAAACCCAACATCAACCACAGTTAAAACGAAGACAACTACACCTCAAGCTCTTGAAAATGAGACAGACACAACTCTCTCAACTTTTAATACTACAGAGGATTTCTTTAAAGGTCCTGATGCAGAGACTACTGAAGAGACTGAGACCATCAGTATGAGTACATTTCCAGTCCAGTCCACTTCCAGTCCTGCAGAAATCGACAGTGGATCAGGGGGGGTGTCGAACGAGTTGGAACAGTTTACAACAGTTTCAACAACTAAGGAAATGCAAACTCCTCTTGGGGATGAGACAAACGACGAATATTCTTCCACAACAAAATGTAAGAAAAACATACAGCACAAAACTCAGAACAAAGAGATTTTTATATGAATGCAGTTCAGTTCAGGATTAAGATGTACTCTTCATGATTTTGATAATCTATACTGATAAAATATAATGACAGTATAATGCTTTGCCATAGTATACAAGGCCTATTTCTCCTACAGACTGTACTGAACTCAGGTCATGTGTTATTTGCCCTACATTCTTCTATTTTTGTATATTCCAAAGATAGAATAATGAAAAATGATAATGTTTAATTTCAATAATGTCAAATTGTTTATAATTTTATAACTTAACATAGAAAAATACTGTCATAATGCACCATGATGACATCTCATGCAACAGGTCTGGGGATGGCTAAAGTAAGTTTTAGAACTTAGGATGCCCCCTTGTGTTAGTTTGAGTTGTACAATTTAATTTGCTGAAGGCACTGACACCTTAACTCAAATAAGTTTAATTAAAGGCCTAATAACAGTATTATAAGTGACACTTTGGGAGAGATAATGCAGAGGGGGAAGCAGCTTTATTGATACTTTTGCAGTTTGTAGTATCTAGTAATGCACACCAGTCTGGTCCACTCAGAGAGAAAAGGAAATTAAATGGGAATGGTAATATTTAAGATATATTTATTTTTGAGACATCTATATGCCAATAAATGGCTTATTTTAGGATGATATAAACTGAATATCTCTTGTTTTGTTGAAATCAGCGCCCCCAAAAGATGGCAAAGGCCGCATGGCAGTTTCTACTGAAAAACCTAAGTCACCGAGCGGCAGTGACTCAAGTAAGCAAATTATTTCACATATACCATATAAAGAGTCATTGCAGCTATGTAATACTATGCAATCCTATTTACACTCTGGACTGACAGTAATTTTTACCCCTTTTAATCCTAACTTTTATGTCTCCTTCTAGATTTGATTGTTATTATTCTAGTGATTTTGGCAGTCATCATTATTATTCTTCTATGTGCAGCTGTCGCCAAGAGAAAAAGGTATGACTTGGATTACCATCATAATAGGACTGACAATTAAGACCTAGTAAAACACCCCTCTATATACAGTGAGGCATTGCAAAAACTGACATTAATTATATATGTATCTAAATGTGTTTTGGCAGCTTGTGCGGCAAGACGCAAACCCTGATGATCACAAAAGACACAGGTGAAGGCAATGGAGCAGCAGCATCTGGCTCCCAGAACCAGGAAATGGTGACCCTCATGAGCAAGGAGAAGGTCCAGGAGAACGGCAACACAGAGGAGTTCACTGTCATCACTCTGGGAGAGTCGACAGATAAAGAGCAGCTGGCATGAGGGATGAGCGCATGAAGACGATAGTCAGTTAGAGGAGGAGTGTCAAAGTGAGGAGATGATCGAGACAGTAGATGGGTGGGGGCAGGGGCTCCAGTTTCAAGGGGATAAAATTGCTTTTGGTGGCAAGCACTGAAGGGTGTTACAGAGACTGTCTAGCTGAGGCTTGGCTTCAGTACTCCAGTGGGTCTGAAGCAGCTGATTCTAGGAAGGACCATGTCTTTTACGGGCAACATTTTGTCTGGTAGCACAGACTGAATGTTGCTCAGGGGTTGTAAATGTATTTTTTGTTAGTTTTCGCGTTTGTACATTTGTATGCTTTATTGATGATAAAGCCATAGGCGCAAGTGTTTATAGGGGGCATGAGGAGTGACAGCAAATGTTCACCTCTTTTAGATAAGATGGATCCCAAAATTTGCAATTCAGCCTAAATGGAAAAGATGAAATCAGCAATGCGAACTGATTTATCTTCTTTAACTTACATCAACAATGTTAAGCCACCAGCCCCCCAAGTATTTAATTTATTTTCTTTGCTATTGTTAATGGCTTGTGTATATTTCAAACATTTCCTGAGAACTGAAAAGTTATTTTCCATGTTCAAGAAAACTGGGGATGTCACTACCTTAATTTATGCAGCTTTTTCTTGATCTCTGTATATAAAGTATGTATGTTGAAAATGATTTAGCAATAGCTCCATGTGTGTTTTTGTTTTGTTTTGTTTTTTTATAGTAAGGGTTTAGTACCTGTTTTAAGGAGGTTTCCAAGGGTCATTTAATTAGAAGCTATATCTAAAAAAAAACACTGAGGATGCAATTATGAAACAATTGTGATTTTGCAATAGTCATAATTTAAGGCATCCAAAATTTATGTATCACTGAAGTCAGTTAAAATAATGTACATTTATACTGAGTTGCAAATATGAGGATACCTTGATGTTATCCTGAGGATAAGAAGAATCATAGTAAAGATGTAACCATACTATATACACAGTGTGTACATTCATTGGGGCTAAAGGACAGCACAAAAGAAACAATTTGACTCTATCTATAGCACATTAACCATTTCCAATGCCAAATTTGCCACACAAGTGACAGGTGCTTGTCTTTGTATACTGATCCAAATTGCACATAATAACATATGCTTGTACTGTATGTGAAAGGTTGTTTCAAGAGAAAAAGACTGCAACAATACTGTCTATGTGTTCCCAAGAGAGGGGTTCGTAATGATGACACTTATGTGCTTTGCTCAAGCCTGATGTGCCAGTTGCTCAAACATGTAAACCAAATGCTGCATTCTTTTCTACTGACCTTCTCAAAGCTAAAATATACATTGTTTCCTATTGAGATCAATTCCTGTCCGCCAACCTTTTTTTGAATTGTAAACTGATTTAGGTTTGTGAATTCCTCCTTTTCTCTCTAAAATGATTTGCTTTGAAGAGAAGTAGCAAATGTATTAGAGTAGCCAGCTTTATGACAGAATAACGCATGTCATTGAAATAATTTCTAAAGTCTTGAATTAAATAATAAATGTGTACATAAACCGATTTGCTGGAATGGGGTGTTCCCTCTGTAATTACTGTTGCTTTTTGTGTAGTGACAAGGGGAGCAATCGATCGGTGTAGCCAGAAAGGAAATGCAAGTGGTTACACTGCGCTGCATAACAGGAAGAGAAGTTTCCATGGTACCAGCACTGTGACGAGAGAACATGTTTACACAGAAGTCAGAAAGAGAAAAAGACGGCCATTTTGAAAGGCAGAGAAGGCTTCTTTCCTGGATTAAAATGCAAGCAGTGTAGTCACAATGACAACAGAGAAGTATTACTGGTTTTTTTTTCCATGCATTTATTGCACAGTACACTGTCTAATTCACTGACACTGATGGATAATGGAGAAGCCCTTGAATCAGAATTTGTTTTAATAGTTAGCAAGGGGTGGTTCATCTATTTACAGTGTTGTATAAAGTATTTGCCCCATCCTGATTTCATTTTTTTTTTTTTTTGCATATTTGTTACACTTGCATGTTTTAGATCATAAAGAAAATGTTAATAACAGACAAAAATAGTTTCAGTAAATATTAAATGTCGTTTTTAAACAATGATTTCTTTTTTAAGGGGTAAAAAAAATATACTATTCAAACCTACCTGTACATGTAATATCTTTTTATTAGTCTAGGTTCAAATACTAGACAGAACAACTTGATTACTTTTTTCATATTTTATTTACCCAGGCAGCAAATAATTTTTTAATGTCTTTTCCCATTAGAAATACTGATACAGGCCAATGAAAATTTCAGGCTTTTATCTTTATAGTCCTTGAAAAGTAAAATTTCACAGCAACTTGTTTTATGATTTTTATGCAAAGTGGAGAAGGTCGAGCAGAAAATGTTCTAAAAATTTGCTGATTGAGATGGAATAACCCATCTAGCAGTCTGGAATGTGTTACAAAGCAATTTCTAAGGCTCTGGGACTCCACGGAACCCTGGTTAGAGGCATTCTCCACAAATGGAGAAAACTTTAGTGAACCTTCCCAGGAGTGGCCAGCCTACCAGAAGTCCTCCAAGACAGACAACTCATCCTGAAGGTCACAAAAGAATCCAGAACAACATCTAAAGAACTTACTTCTCTCAGTTAAGGTCAGCATTCATGAGTCAACTTTAAGAAAGGCAGTGGAAAAATGGCATCCGTGGGAGAGTTCAAAGGTGAAGATGTGAAAAAGTTTGCTAGTTATCACAAATACTTGATTGGAGTTTCATGTTGGTGGCACGAGTTTTTAGGTTATGGGGCAATTATTGATTATGCATAGGGCCAGGTAGGATAGTTTTTCCTCCTGAAGACATGAACTTATAATTTATAAATGGCATTTTATAGTTACTTGGGTTATCTTATATTTTATCTAATATCAAAACTTGTTTGATGATCTGAATCATGTAAATGTAACGAATATGCAAAAAGAAAAAACATTGAAAAGAGGGGAAAGAGTTCATCTTTTATATACAGTCTATGTTTATTTGTAGTAAACCATTTCTAGCCTTAATCAGGTGCATTCTCTTTTTTTTAATTCACCCAATATTTAAGAACAGAAAGAGGAATTGTGCCACATTCTGCAACACAAATGTCATATTTTATGTGTTTAATTCTCTATATTTCAACAACAACAAAAAAAGCCACAGAAATTTACTGTCACTCTATTTAATGGCCAATTTTCAAAAGTAATGACTTACTTATAAAGGAACATACAACATTTCTCTATGTAAAACCCAATATGGGACTAATGTCTATAAAGACTATTGGGATGTGGGACTGCCACCAATAATCTTCTGCCAATGATTTAGCTTTTCATTAGCTTTTATCACATTTATCTGTATTCAGCTGGAAGACAAAAACTGGCATAAATTGAAATCTTGGCTCCAGACATCAGCTAGTTATACTGGAAGCCCGACAGAATCACCAGTTGCCCAGAGGCTAATTCAGTAGGCTATCTGATGGATTCCCACATTAGCTTAGAAGCAATGACGCTTTGGAGTTTGTTCACAATGCATAATGGGGTCAACAAATCCGTTCCTTTTTTTTCTTTAGCAAGTTCACCACCTAAACAAAATGTGTACCGTTTGTTGCCTTAATGAAGATTAATACGATCAATATTAATAGCAAAATGGGATAGAGTAGCTTAAAACAAGCAGTAAATACTTCACTGTCTGTTTTCTCCCTTACCTTCTTAATCAAAAATAATAAAAGATAAAATCTACTAGAAATGTTTATACAGTAATACTACACTAAAACAACTAGTTAATAAAAACTAAACACAAAATAGCATACATGTATTTCTTTTTTGTGCAAAAATTGTTGTAAAACAAAGAAAGAAAGAAAGTCTCAAAACAGCTGCAATTTAGTTATCAATCAACATTTATTAGTTATATTTGTATATGTACACCAAAGGTACAACACTTATTGATATGTAGAAACAGATTTTTATGTATACCATAAACTGAGAAAAGAATTCATTTTTTTTTCTCAACAGTGAATTTCACCCACACATAACCTCTGCCTTTACATCAAGATAACAACAGCTTTACAAAGAGGGAAGGCCTAGAAAAGTAAATTCTTCAAAGCACATTGTAGGCAGGAGTGTAACAGGTTATCAGCTCAGTGTAAGAGTTTCTTCAAAAAAACATTTCAGGAGAAAAGCACAGGCTTCAAGATATACTGGCTCTTTGCTGTGGCAATTATTTTCCATGTAGTCAGTACCATTTAGGTAAGCGATTCCAGGTGTTTGTGCGTGCATATCATTTCTGTGCAGAAAGTAAAAAGGCAAGTCAAGTGAAGGCAGCTTACTAAGTAGTATTCCTAAAAACATCCTAGACTGATGACATGACAGAGTTCAAATGTGTGAAGATGTGATTTATGGAAATGCTAACATGGAATCTAAATGATATAAATGTCCATGTCTTCAAATGCACCAGGTAAACAAACACGTCTGAGACTAAACCAGTTTTTTTCCTTTGTAAAGACAAAATGTGTTTAGATGAGTCACCTGAGGAATGTTGCTGTATCCTGTAACAGGCATTTGAATACAATTGAAGTTTGAGCTTTCTCTTATATCAACTCTTAGGCTATGTTTGATTCATCACTGTCCTACACACAGAGCAAATATGACCTTTTCCCCTGTTTTTGTGTCTTATCACTAACCTTTATAATAATAATTTCCCACCCAAATAACTCGTGTTGACCCCCTCATCAAACCAGAAACTTCCTCATGCCTATTTTTATCTCATCTCACTCTTTCTCAGTCTTTTTCTTTCTCTTCTTCATGCAAATAGAATTTTTTTTTTTTTTTTTTTTGCAGGATTACTATAATTTCCAGAGAATTCTGCATTGTCACCGAACAGAACAATTATATATTTATGTATGTACAATGAAAATGAATTCACACTGCTTATATCTTCATGGAGGAAACATTCAAAACACTTACATTAGATTAAAAAAAGATATTTATATGCTGGAATGTGACAGTTAATTAAAACAGCTAGTTAACAGGTATTAGAGAATAAAAAAGAACAAGCAATTTATGACATATTTTCCTCTCTATACATTTTGTCTAATCTAATTTTACTCGTGACATGGATAATTTTTTTCTCTCTAGAGGATTACATTTATAAATGTCACAGCAATGAAACTATATTTCTACGTACCATTTTGATACCCCCACATCCCCTGGAAAAAAAACCCCAAACAAACAAAAAGCATCTGTTACCTACAATATGTACACAAAGTGCAAGGAGGCACTTCAAAATATCATGCTTTTAAGATAGTGGTGCAAAAAATAATTATCATATTATTTTAATTCATGCTTCTAAAACCGTGAGTTTGAACATAATATTGGTCCAACACACAATCCCCATCGGTGACACTGTCGGCTACTCACTGTATATGTATATAAAGATATGTATGTGTATGTGTGTGTTTGTGTGTGTTGTGAAGATCATAAGAGGTTAGAGTGTCAGTGCTGTACTCACTCATAACAATTACAAATGTACTGACCTTCCGTGTGTTTGTTTGTTTACTTATTTTTGCATTTTTGTTACGTGTGCATTTGGAGAAAAGTGTGAAGATGGTGCATATATACATCAGTCTATGCAGTATGTTGAGCAGAACGCTGCACGCTCATCGTGATGTATAAAAGTAGACAAATGACAAAGCGCTGCACTAGATGTTGTGTTAAGTTTCCTACTGTTACTTTAATTGGCATTTGTTTGAATCGAACACCTTCAAGGCAAGGTCATTCAGCACGGATGAAAAGAAACAAGAGAGGAGAGAAGAATACAGTGCAAAGAAATCAAATTCACATTGACATCAGTTTCACCTCCCTCACACATGCACCCAGAAAACGATAACAGACAGCATTCCTGCTTTGTTTGTGTATTTGCCATATAGTGTTTTTAATCATTTAGTTCTATGAGATGATTATATGTGTATTACCTGATAACTGGAACATCCTGGCATATAACTGTGCGTGTCCGTTCTCATATTCTGGTTTCATCAACAACCTTCCCACTTTATGGATAAACAGCTGCAGCATTTAGGGTTTGTAGAAACAGTCTTGAGCTCTGGTGGCAAAAATATATTGTTTACCTTTTTAGATCTGGCTAAAACAAGAAGCTGGCAGGTGTTCCCAGAGAGGATCTGTCTCTGTTCGTGCAAGCCAAGAATCCATCTGACAGCCGAGCCGCTCTTCCTTCTCAATTTCTTTTTATAAACGTTTCTAGCTGTTCACCTTTTGTGCTATGCCAGTGTTTAGTAATAACTATGTCTGTGCTTTCTAGTACACTGGTTCACAGGCTCACTCAGCCACTGGAATGTAGTTTGAAATAATAAACGTGTGCTCACTGTATTTTCATATATTATAGAATAACTTTCTTTCGACAAAGACTTTTGCTGTCATTTTTCATAGACAAAGCTTTTAAAGTTGTGCTCTTAAGAGGCCATTCTCAAGGAAACACTGGTCTTACAAACAAGTAAACATTTTAGGATTAAAATATGTTTCCCTGTAAGAGTAAACATGACAAGCCTGAGTATCTTTTGATCGCACTTATTTTAAAGTAGTTTCTTTTTTAAGTTGGAAAGATTATTGTCTGCACTCACATTCTGGCCCGATTTGTGCTTTAAAAAATATATATTTCCAACATATTTTATTCAATATTTTATGTAGGTATGCCATTTAGATTTACATTTAGTTTTAAACTGATTGAAATGTCTTTTTCATTGGTATTAAAGAATTACTATTTTTGGTGAAAACCGATACTCTATACATTGTAATTTTAGGGCAACGCTTTAGATTTTGAGGTTTTATCTCTTGTTGTGCTATAAATGGATAGTTTAAGAAAATGGATGTCATGGTGACAGATCAAAGGCCTCTGTGAGCTGATTGATTTTCTGCCTGTTTGGTCCCTTTAATTGACTTGGTCATGTTTTGACCTTAGCACTCTCTCTCTCTATCACACACACAAATTAGCTTTAAATATCACTGAATGCGTGACACAAAAAAAAGATCCCCTTTCTACACAGTAGACAAAATAAAATAAAATAAAACCATTGGGTGCTTTGAGGCTCAGCATGTTTTTCCTGTTCACTATTGTTCTCACTGAACCCTTTATCAGTTTTCTGGTCCACAGGGATACTGAGTAATATTGGGTAACTATAATTGCAGTAAGAAGCACTTTAGAGACACTTTTGTTCTTAGATGAGAGGCTGGGATGAAAACAAAAAGCAGTGGCCGTGTGCACACATTGTGATAGTACTGACAGGGATGGAAAGAAGGGGATTTCATTACAAATTGCATTGCTGTCGTGAATAATGTTCCAACTCCCACTTGTCTTTGACACTATAATAACGTGTCACCTTTAAGAAACTTGTAAGACACTCAGTGCATCTCCGCTTCTTCGCTCCTCATACAAATAAGGGACCAGGATGTATTGCTAAGAATAGCTTATCTAACCATTGTTTTCCTCCCTTCCTTCACCCTCCAAGTCTTGAAGTATGTTGTGCAAGTGTCTGCTATACAGGACGTAACTGCGCTCTAACATGTGAGGTATTCCTATGTTATCATTTCACAATTAAGTGAATTAGTATCATATATATCAGTCAGATAGACAGTTAAAATTTTATAGGGACTAAAATTTTTTTAAAAAGAAAAGAAATGTAAGCTACATAAAAAAGAACAATTAGTAGTTCTGTTCATGTGATTTTTCATTCATTCTTGTATATCACCAGACAGGAAAGCTTGTGGAGCCCAGAAGCAGGGGATCTCTGTGCTGCCATTATTCATGTTTCCATGGTTCCTCCTCAACAAGCGTGCACTCCGCAGCAGAGCCATTAGTGGCTGAGGTTACCTGTAAGAAGTTAGCAGAAGATCTAAACAGTGGATCCAAGAAAAAAAGAAAATTCTGGTCAAAAGACCTTAGAATAACACCACATTCTTAAAGCTTATAATGCATCAGATCAACTACTGCATTGTTATATGATGTCTATAAACTAAAATGTTGTATACAACATTCTTATTTAAATTTGACTACTTTTAGCTATAGCGCTTTGTAGGGCTGTAGTCTCCAGAACAACTAGTTAACTGACCAAATAATTACTAGTTTTCTAATTGATGTTACTTTCATAAGGAGAATGTCGTTCCAATACTATTCCCTCATTTTTAATGGTTGGAGCAAAAACTTACAGTTAGGATCACTTTGGATAGAGACTTTGAAAAGAGTAGCTTTTTAACATTTGCTCAGCATTAGCTCTGTAAATACCTGTCAAAAAGGTCGGCAGTGTGGATTCATTTTTATTAAGGATAGATTTTTCACACATCTTTCATGTTAAATGCTTGAGACTATAAGTATGTGCATGTTAGAAACTGTAACTGGTATGTGCATTAAAGCAAAAGGTTTGGGACCAACATCTGCCAGTTGCAGTAAGACCAACAAAGCCAGACCATATTCACCAAGACCAAAGCAAATATGAATCTTTCACTTTCATCAATACAGTAGAATTATATTACAGTCGGAGAGGTGTCAAACCTATTGGTCAGAGCATGTTGCTTGTTTGCATTTTTGTCCTGGGATCACCAGTTAATATGGTTTGTGTGGATGCACACTGGTATATGCTGGTTGACTGCAAATCTGTTGTTTTTATTTTAGTACAAAATGAAGAGTTTGGAATAATTTAAACAATGTTTTGTTTAATAACATTTTTGTTTATCTATAAATAATTTTGGCTAATAAGGCAAAATGCACTCAGTACAGTGGAGCTGATTTAGAAAGATTATTCTCCCCAAGACCAATGAATAGGTTTTAGGGTAGAACCAATTTCAGTTAATGGAGATTTTCTTTGGTTGACTACAGCCCTCTTTAGCACTTGAAACCTACAAAGACAGAATTGCTATTTTGCAATAAGGAACACTGGAACTGCAGGAAAACCACTGATGTCCATGCATGCTCGTGGTAGTCCTAACATGAGTTAGACAGTTTCTTTTAATGACCTGGGAATAGACCACAAATTTATGATGAAAACCAACTTAAGAGGCAGTAAAAAAAAGACAAATGAATACATTTTAAATTCAGAACATACAAATAACACAAAAAAGGAAAGAACACTACCAAATGAATGCATAGTTACGTTTTAGCTATTCTGCAAGCATCTACGACGTTTCATTGGACTTGAAATGGGTTAGAAATGTATGTGAGGCAAAGCAGAACAGAAAACAGGGAAAAGTGGTGTGGAAGGTACTGGAAGCAGCAAGGTTTTGTTTAACATTCATATGTAAGTGTCCATTAATAAAGCAAGTCTGAGAAAGGAGGATATAACTTTTTGCCATGGGCAGATTGCTTGTGCGACAGATTACCAGCGTTGCTAGGTAACGCCCTTCATCCTTTAATAAATGAATAGGCTCATCAGTAGGCCTTTGCCGCCCGTCTGTGTGTGTCAGAGAACAAGCATTATGAACTTACATATAATATTCTAAAAGACTGGAATACATTCAGATATTGCATTTAAAATGTTTTACATTTCCGGAGCTCCTTCTCCCCTCTAGATTTCACAGAATATTTCTCACACTGGACAGAAATAGATGGTGTCAAAATGCAGAAAAAAAAAAAAAAAAAACCCTTGTAGGGAATGACTCACTGACAGTTTCGTAGTTGGTGTGTAGGGAACGTATGAACTGCTAATTAGCTCTAGCACTTCCCTTTCTGTATCTTAAAATCCTACAGAAAATGGGAAACCTTTGGAAATGTTCCCATTTAACAGTTAAAATCTGCTGTATTCTAAGAAAAAGCAGAATACGCCACACTGGACAATAATTTGAACATAAGCAATATTTAAAATTATGTCAAAAGACATTTCTTTAAAGTGTTTATTAATACATGTATTCTGAAGTTTTGATAAAGGTGGCTGGTAAATAATTCCTCTGTGTCATAATGAGGATTATCCTGCTCTGCCTTTTGAACTGGAGCCGACCCCCAATTGGCTCCAGTAATCAGATTAGGCTAGCTGTTGAGGGAGAGAAATTTGATCAGATGCTGAATAATATTTTGACATAAACTATAATTTTTTGTTGTTGTTTTTCAACAGCAAAGCTGCTATTCCAGAGAAATGAACACATGCATACATCCAACTATTGTTCCATTGCTTCACTTCTGAAATAAAATAACAGCGGGTGTATTTACAATGATGTAAACAAAGACGCAATGCTTAAAACTCAAACAGATTCAAGCAAGGTGCAGGGTGAGCATGCAACACGAGAGAGGGTTATAGACAGGTCTCTATGTTTGTAAGCATTAAATGTACCTTGCATTCATCTACTACAACAGAATTGTTAGCAGTGGCGCTAGCAGTTGTGGTATCGGTAGCGGTTAAGACGCACTGGTTGGAATTATTTTCATGATGGTTCTTCATGTCATCGTAATAAGACTGGGTCTTTGTCATCATTTCAATGTCATCCGACTTTGCCGTGTGTGCATCCAGCTCATCCAGCTCTGCCTTCGACATGTGGTACACGATGCCTGCACCGTAGGAGTCACCCACCACGTTCACTGAGGTCCTGAATCGATCACTGATGAGACACAAATCAGCATGAAAGATGGCTTTGCATGCTAGTACAGGGTTTGCAAACCCCTAATACAAAAGCAAAGGCAAAATTACCTTGTATAGTGTAACCACAATATAATTTTTTCTTTTATCAAACTCACAGCAGCCAGTCGACAGCAACCAGGAGACTGATATCTTGGGTTGGCAGGCCTACAGCAGTTAGGATCAGCAACATAGTCACCAGGCCAGCACTGGGAATACTGGCGGCCCCGACACTGGCCAAGGTGGCTGTCAGACTGGGTGAAGATATGGGAAAGCGGCACTCAATAACATTCTCCAAAACCACTTGCCTAACCTCATTCTTCACACCCTGATGCACTTCCCCAAACACCAATGAACATTACATCCTCTGCATCTCACAGTTAAAAGGAGGCACTCAGTTTCTGCTGTGCTTAGGCTAGTAGGTTCTTCATCTTTATGAACAGAGGCTCACAGAGATGAAAGAGAGATTGAATGTTTAATTTGAAGGTCCATGGATTTATATTCAATAAAAATGCCCGAGCCAAGGTCATCTATCTGCAGATCACTGGATTATAAGAGTATTTTGGAAAGATTGTTACGATGAAAACAGCGAGTGACTGGTAATTCTTGCTTAGCTTCCTCCTTAGCATGAGACAAGGGACTGGGGCATATGGCTGCTTCCTCTGGGTGCTTAATTTGCTGTACTCTAAATTTCTTTTCAGCTCACCACTAAATGCCACAACACTTCTACTGAGTTTGTCTTTATTGTAATGATCTAACTGTGGGAGCTGCATTTATCTCAGTTTAAACAATTTAAACAGTGGGAACTGCAAGTCTTACTTTGGTGACTAAGAATAGCTTCAATAGAAGAACTGCACACATATGCAGCCATTCTGTAGGACTCCATTTCTAAAACCCATTCTTATATATATGTAAACTTGGATGGGATGTTAAATATTAAGTGCAAAGCCGTGTTTTTTCTGACCTGACAGTGATAATCTGACCAGGGTCAAGGTTGACACCGTTCATCTGGGCAATGAAAATGGCAGCCACAGCCTCATACAGAGCAGTTCCATCCATGTTGATGGTGGCACCGACTGGGAGCACAAAACGAGTGACTCTTTTGTCAATACCCAAATTCTCTTCCAGACAACGGAAGGTGACAGGTAGTGTACCAGCACTGGAAGGGAAAAGCAAAACAAGTTGGATTATAAATGTATAATAATTTGCACCAATATTAAGACAGCAATTCCTTTTCCATTCTGATGCTAACCTGGAGGCTGTCCCCAGAGCAGTAATCCAGGCCTGGAAGATGCCCAGGAAGAAGGTGAAGGGGTTTTTCCTGGTGATAACGAAGTAAATGCTGGGGAGGAAAATTGCTCCGTGGATAATGAGGCCAATGATCACTGTCACCATGTACATGCCCAGCTGCCTAGCCACGACCTCCAGATCCTTAATGGAAATGATCTTGCCACAAATCAAACAGGCAATACCAAAAGGAGAGTACCTGATGAGAAGAAAAAGTATGTTTAATCATTTAGCAACATATTAAATTAGTTAACCCTCATAAAATCTTCCTATTACAAGCAAGCCTTTATCTTTTAAAGCATTACAGTGACTTGACAAATAACTTGGAATGAACAACAAACACATTAAATTAAGTCATTTCTGATTCAAATGACTTAAATGAGTTTTAAAACGAGTCAATGGGAATCTTGAGTGACACTAACCACATGATCATGATGACAAGTTTCATCACAATCTCATTGAGGATATTGAAGAATTCAATCATGAGCCTGGCCTTCTCTCCCATCTTGCCCATGCAGATGCCAAATGCAATAAAGAAACCAATCAGACCTGTGACAAAAAATCATAAATGTGTCACATTTTGAATGCCACCAGTGCTGAAGGGTGAGATGTGTCCAGCATCAGGGAATTCTTATAAGATGATAGGGTTTCCATTTAAAAACCAATAGGCCTGTCCAGATATTTGCAACATTCAAAACCGATTCCCAGGCATGACTCTAGAGTATGACTGGAATATCTGAAATACCTGAACATCTATTTTCCATGATATTAAATCAATATGGGGCCGAGGGAATTAATCTAAATGACTTTGATTATTCCCCGACTTGTTCTCTTTGCATTGTGGTTTCGATGGAAATGTCTCAACTGCAAAACATTCAGAACATTTCCATCAGGCAGCGATCTGTATTTCTGTGTATTGCGCTAGTTAGCAAATGCTGTGATGGTGATGGCTAAGCTGGCTAAGATGATGAATGTTCTCAACATGTATACATGTTCTGTTACCTGCTACCAGCTTAGCATTTGCATCTTAGCTTCATCATTGTCTTCATTTTAGCATGCTGATGTTAGCGCTTAGCACCATTCGTAATATTGCTTAATGTTACTAGGCCACATACTGCAGCTATATTACTGTGTTTTCAGTTGCAGTGAGTTTTACATACCCAAAACATTCATGCCACTTTTGAACTGCAGTGACTTTTTGATGATGTACTGAGGCTCCTTTGTAATGTTAGCCACTAGGCCCTCCATAGTGGTGGCATTGACATCCTCCTCAATAACCACCTCCACCTTCTTTGTGACTGTCTGAATCTGAAAGAAATTAAGCATTAAGCATAAATATTAATGAGCTAATGACATTTAAAATATTTTGCTTCAAGAATTCTTTTGTGGTATTAAAGGTAATGCACTGCAGTGGTTCTGAATCAGATCTTTCTAAAATACTCCAGTTTGCTCGTGTAAATGGAGAGTCCTCTTCACACACTAAGGTTAACTATGGAGTTCCACAGGGTTCCATGCTAGGACCAATTCTGTTAACATTATACATGCTTCCCTTAGGCAGTATCATCAGAAGGCATTGGCAAACATTTTCACTACTATACAGATGATACTAAACTTTATCTATCCATGAACATACACCATAACACACACCAGTTAGTTAAACTGCAGGTATGTCTTAAAGACATAGTGCTATCCAGAGTAAGCAAATTCTCACTCTGGATAGCATTACCTTGACCACCAATTCTTGGAATTGTTTTTTTACCAGGATATTCAACGCGTATATTAAACAATTATGTAGAACTTTTTTCCACTTGAAGCATATCTCTAAAATTAGAAACATGTCTTAGAGTGATGTTGAAAAACTGTTCATTCATTTATTACTTCTAGGTTGGATTTGTTCATTATTATTCGAATGTCCTAAAAAAGTCTTTAGTTGATCCAAAATGCTGCAACAAGAGTATTGACAGGGACTAGGAAGATATATAGCAATATATATATATATATATATATATAGCAAGATATATCTTCTACACTGACTTCTCTTCATTGGCTCTCTGTTAAATTTAGAATCAGATTTAATATCTTTCTTATAATGTACAAGGTCTTGGATAATCAGGCCGCATCTTATCTTAATGACCTTATAGTACAATAACATCACATTAGAGCACTTTGCTCTAGACTGTGAGCCTACTAGTTGTTCCTTTAGTATTTGAAGGTAGAATGAGAGGTAAAGTCTCCACCTTTCAGGCCCCTCTTCTGTGGAATCAGCTCTAAATTTGGATTTAGCAGATAGACACCCTTTCTTCTTTTAAGATAAGGCTTAAAACTTCTCATTTTGATAAAGTATATTTTTAGGGCTGGATAAGGAGACCCTGAATCCTCAAGCTCTAGGCTGCTGGGGGAGTCCCATGATGTGTTTCTTCTTCAATAACCTTTTTCACTCATTATATGTTTATACACCACTCTGCATTTAATCATTAGTAATTAATTAGTTATTAATCTCTGGCTCTCTTCCAACAGATGGCTGCCTCTCCCTGAGCCTGATTCTGCTTCTTCCTGTTAAAGGGTAGTTTTTTCTTCCCACTGTCCCCAAAGCGCTTGCTCGAGGAGGGGTTGCTTGGATTTTTTATGTTTCCTTTCTATTATTGAAAGCTATTTACTTTACAATATAATAGCATTGGGGCAACTGTGGTTTTGATTTGGCATTATATAAATAAAATTTGTATTGTGTGTGCAATTGTTTTGGCTTATCAGGCATCAACCCCTGTAGTTCTCTGTTGGTAGCCTCTTCCGAACACTTTATGAAAGTAAGCCTACACATGTCCCAATAAACAAGTTTATTTTCTATGACTTTATGTAATATTCCCTAACAAGTGATGGGATGGCATTCATGTGTTCAGATATCTCACAAAGATTTTCAAACTGTGAATAAATCCTTTTAATCTGTTACCTGTTGGAAACAAGCCTGCACAAGATTCTCTGGGAAAAGGTTCCTGATCAGATCAAAGAAGGCATCCAGACTAGACACATCATCATTTTTCTCGCCCTCGCCAAGATTCTCCTTCAGTTTGGGGTTGCCAGGGTGGATGACTAACACCAGGATAACGCCCAGGATAGCAGCAATAATTGTGGTTGTCATGTAGTAGACCATAGCTCTGGTGCCCAGGCGACCGCTAGATTTGGCATCAAGACCGGCTAGACCTGCACCCAAAGCAAGCAAGATCATGTTTGCCTGTTAATTGCTGGGACGTATCCAATGGAAATGTTGACTCAATGCTGCAAGACATGAAGGCTGTGCTATGCAAAGACAATTAGTAGATTATATAAGGGTATTTTCTTATTGCATTATGACTTTTTCACCAAGTCTATTTTAGTGTATTAGAGCAGCAAAAGGTGTAAATCAGGAATATTCCTAATTTATTTGAGTGTGATAAATTTACACTGCACCTGTGATTAAACTGGAGATAATGAGTGGCAGGATCAACATCTTCAGCATCCTCATTAGGATGTCTCCAGGAAAAGCAATCACCATGACAATGTCTGGGTGGATTGGGGAAGCAACACGAAGCAGCATCCCTGATACAGCCCCCAAGATCACACCTGAAGTGCAACAAGAAAAATAAAAAGGTGTAAAATCCCAAAATATGAAATTGTGTGAGAGAAACAACGTGAAATACAGAAACAAAGTGGCCAAGCCAAGCCAACTTTAAGTAAGTCAGATATTACATGCAAATAAACCATAACAAAATGCTATGATTTTAATCATTTGCTACTTGAAAATAGTATCAATTCAAACTATGAAATAAATAATTCTCAAATGATTTGTACTCAAAGACATTGTATTAACATCTTAGTAACATCTTAGCTTCCAGCCTTATAATTTCAGTTGTTTGGTGAGAAGGGATCTGCTGGATACTTAGGGAGGGCAGTGGGTTGTGAAGATAAAATGCAAACCTGCTGACAGTGAGCAAAGCTCGTGGAGGATTAAAATCAGATTCCTTTGAAGCAGAGAGGAGGAGCAGCATGTCCGACTCACTGGTGAAGCATCTGTCATCTCAGCAAACTCTTTTAAAATTTTTATTTTTTCAAAAGCTTCAATAAATGATGGATAAAAAGATATGTTTCACTCTAATCTCAGGCACAAATTTTGTCTCACTGAGATACTTGGATTATTTTCACATTATCTTTTTTGCGTGTGCAACCTTACCTTTCCTCTGATCTCCATTCTTTAATAGCCTGAATATTGTGACATTTGAAAGATCATCTATTCTCAAACAAAATCGTTGTTGACCCTTAAAGCCACAATGTCTCTTCTAACCAACAACTCTTTTCCTGCCACACACTGTTCCTGCCATTAAGTAAAGCTGACCTCTGTATGCTCCCACCCCCCACTCCCCTGCCTACCAGGCCTGGTGGTTGGCCTCTGTGTCTGTCTGTCTTAGGCAAGACAAAACTCCAACATCCTCCTGGGGCTGCACTTCCGCTGCCAAAGATAACACAGCCCAATATATTGTTTCATAACACAAACTGATCACAAGGCCTCCAGCGTTTTTGTTTTTGTTTTTTTTTAAACCTAAGTTGTCTTCAGCGCTTTAATCTATCCCCCAGTCTAACAGCATCCTGTGGATTCTGCACACCCGATGGTTTTGGATGGCACTTGATTTCCTGTGCTTTCCCTTTGGAGCAATTGCAAGTTCCCTTTCAAGGTTTCATCTGCCAAGTGACAGATGATCAATGATCATGCTGGCTCACTTGCTTTGTGAGCGTCCAGCCGGGTGCCATTGGATGTACACAGTAAGCATGCTCACACAAGCCCACATCCATACAAGTGCAATGCAGTAAGAAACTGAATAAGTCAAATGTACACATATTTTTTAATTTACAGTTTAAAGAGTCCTGTAATTATAGACTGTATGACTGGGAGAGACGACATAAAAACAAACCATCAGAAAGAACTACAGTTTAAACAAATCTAATTTAAGACCTTACATCTCTTCCTTTATTAAAAACTTTTTTTCTTTGGACCCTAATCAGCATGTGGTAAGATGACAGCACTTTTCATGCATCACCAGAGGCTGTTTTTATGTCCAGTACAGCACAGCTTTTGATAGCAACAGGTGGCACAGAATTGGGAAAGTTCAGAACACTCAGTCATCTTTCTGTCTGAGCACAGATGGCATCTCCTCCGCACATATAATTGAGCTAGCATAAGACTGAACTCAGTGGTAGTTAGTATCTGTGTTTAGCCCTCCTTACTTTTTATTAGGCTCTCGAGATAAAAAAAACCCAAAACCAAAACATAATAATAATAATAATAAGTAATTGAAAGAAAGAAAAAACAGCGTGAGGGGGCTTACCAAGGACAGTGAGAGTGAGAAGAAGGTTCTTGAACATTTTGGAGCAGATTAGGGCACATTTCGACTGGGGCCTGGCCTCAATGGGCTCCAGGTGACTCTCGTGCATCCTCACCTCCACTTGTTTAGGCATACTGTTGGCACTGTGATATGAAGAAAGAACAAGTGATTTTTGTTAAAATCAAAGCCATCAAGTCAGACAATGTGAAAAGTACACACTTGACCACAGAACATTTTTGATGACCATGCTGTGGTGATCATGCTGTGGTCATATTCTGTCATGTGACAGTCACTGTGAGAAAGAAGACTGTTGATTCCACAACAACATACAGGAGACTTTGAAAACTGTTTATAGCTCAAATCAAAACACCGTGTGATGAAAAATGTTTAGCATTCAAGCGTTGCCAAGCTGTCACTCGAACACTGTTTGTTCATGGTTAAGAGAGCATTCCAAAAGAAGCAAGCTGACTACAAGCTGCTGCTTCTGAAATCACAGTCCTTTGGGGTATCTCATCTCAGTTTACTGAAGGGTGATTGTGTAGCCCCAATTTTCTCAGAGCAGACTTTTGTTAGATTTTTGCAGAAACTGTGAAACCTTTTTTCTGATAAAATAAAATTAATTGTGGAAAATGTTGGTAGACTTTTCAGGAATTGTTACAATGCACAGATTAAACAGAGCCTTAATTTTACAATGTTGTTGCACTGAAAAAAAAGAGTACGAGACAAAAAATGCCTAACTATCAAATAATATATCTGTTTAGACTTGATCTTTCTATCTCTCAGTTATCATTTCAGTTTTCACATTTACAGGTAATGCTTTGAGAGCAGCTTTGTGTTGAATAAAACACAATTTTCCATAATGAGCAGCCCTGAGTAGCTTTCTGTAGTCCCACTGAGGTGTTAATGCATTTGTTTAATGAGAAAGGAGCCAGCTGTGTCTGTTATGTGACAGTTAGGTATGTGTAAGAAAAGAGAAAATAACAGGCACTATAGCTTTATGCTAATCCCTCAGCATCAAGTTAAAGAAAAAATATACACAATTAACTAGCTTGGCTTGATATATCTTTTGTCTGCTTATGGACTTTGTTGCTATTCAATGAGCCCATTACAAATTCTGGTGTGATGGACAACCAAGAACAGAAAAAATGAAATAAAGTGACCCTCACCTTCCCCCTTGCCGTGGGGTTCACAGTCTAAAAAACACAAATGGAAGCTTCAGTGGTGAAGATTATGTTATTTGGAGATATTAATGATGATGTCAAGTATTTTTTTTCTTTCTTTGTCAAAGCTAAAGCTTTTACCAAATGCAACAGAGAGCTTGAATCAAGAGGTTGTTTTGGGAGAGGAACCTCACAGCCAGCCTTGTTATTATTATGATTTTTTAGGTTTTAGTTTTTTGTGTATGCATACAATTCCACATAAAACACACACTTTCTAAGTTACACGCACCTCCCCCATTGTGTGTGCATTGTGATGTTGAAAGACTATAACAAGACCACCTGGTCACCTTCCAGGCACACAGATGGATGATTCCTAGCTCCTCTTATTAATTTCTACATGTGAAATACAGAAAGTACACGCAAACAGCAGGCAAGTAGCAGCCACATTGCACTCTATTGTGGCGTGATTGCATACTTTAGATAAAAACTCGAGGAATTCATAAAACCCCAGAAATTAAAAAATTACCATTATATACAAATCCTATTCCACGGGAGAGATGAGTGCTGCTAATTGAATGTCCCCCTTTTTCTCTCCCTGTCATTATTTTTAGCACTATGAGAGGAAGCAGGCGATACTCTGCCATAATCCTCTCATTAACACTTCTCTCACCAAGTCAGAGACAAATGAGAGAGCAGGTTTGTGTGACCCAGTGATGGATGAATGTGAAAAAATATAGCTAAGAGTTACAGCCACTGCAGCAGCTGCATTATTTATTAGCAATTTGCACCAGGAGGAAATAGCAAGGTGTTTTTGTGTTATAGAGTCATTTTGTTGGATGGAACATCCTTCTTGTTATTAACATTTCATGAGCTTCGAATTAATTACTGTGCCCTAACAAATAATTCTGAGAAGCTTCACACTTAAGTCCACAATCAGATGGGACTGGGCATCTTGTTTCAGGAAGTGTAAATGTTAAAAAGTTACTTTTGTTTCAGTATAATCAGATTTTACTAAATGTTCAGTACAAAACCATATTTCAGACCTTCAGACCTGTACAAGCCCACACACCCACAAACAGCTTCTTCCTCTCAGTCACTAATGGGATCATGTTGTAAACCGGTTAATCTTGGCTGAGAGCTTAGTCAGATTAATTGCATTACAGGACTGTAAAGCCATGAAGAGTTACTGGAGTTGTGAATAAAATGAAAACTATAAAACTATATTTTTTTCATTGTATATAAAAACAAAACTTAAAAATCAATAAGTGGCTGGAGTAAAAAAAGAGAAAAAAAGTAAAAGGAGTAAATATTTATGATATGAATGGAAATACATAGTACTTACTTCATTTCTGGGGGAGTTGAGGTAAGTGCTATATACATTGACCAGGATCAAATCTCCAGTCTTTGGTATTTAAGAGGGAGTCGGCACAAGAAAGTGTTAGCAGGCGTGCAAGTGCTCCATCCAAATATGTTGCCTGATGTCAGCAGATAAGATCCCAGGTACAGCCGGTGGCTAAAAACACCTCTGCTCTGCTGACGGCAACCTGCTTTCAGCTGTCCACAAACTCCTCCGCAGCATCCAGAGAGGAGCGAGTCAACACAGTCCAGACGACAGACTTAGTCACAGACACAGCAACCTGAATGGCCCCATCCTGATGTCTGCTACATCCCCCACCGCCCACCCCCCCTCCACCACCACCACCTCCTACCCCTTGACTCCACTGCCACCAACACCCACGGCCAGCTACTCACAAATCTCACACGTGCACACATATCATACGCAGACGCACAGCCAACAAACCTAAAAGTAAATAAATAACTAAGAAGAAGAAATGGAAGGAGGAGCTAGTATCAGAGCCTATGTTTCAAATCCCCCAGGGTCCTTAACAGTCCCTAAACACTGTAATCCCCACAGAGAGCATGCTTCTAGACACATCCAAGTACCAGATGGATATGTGGTTCACCACATTATACACTGGTTAATCTATCTATCTATCTATCTATCTATCTATCTATCTATCTATCTATCTATCTATCTATCTATCTATCTATCTTATTGACTATAGTCAATAAAACTCCAAACTGAACTCCAAAGCACAATTGACCTATGTGATTCATGTGAGGATGCTGTCACGCTGATTTCCCTCTAGTCTCCCAGCAGCATGAGACTTCACATGGCATTGAGCAGTATCACATTATTCTAATTAGGGAAATGTGTTGGAAAGCTATTTCCTCTTCAAACAAATGACCAGCTACACAACAAAAGCGAGAGGAATGCCATCTCTGTCTGTAAAGGTTGTGTCATGAGAAATCACTCATCCTAAATCCCTTAACATGTCATCCTCATTCAAAGGGCTCTCCCGCGAAAAGAGTGCAGTTTCGGGATGAGAGCAAGGGGCTAGGACAGAGAAGAAGGGGTTACAAGGGGGAGTAAGAGGGACACTAGGGGAGAAGAGGGTACTGGGGTCGCACCATCACTTCTCAGCCAAAAGAGGGGCCTGTGAGGGGAAGGCCGAGGCAGCCATCCCCGCTTTTGGCTGGTACCATGTGAAGCTCTCTGCTTCCTCTCTCTTCCTTCTGAGGGGCTTTGTTTCACACGCAAACAGTGGCAGTGGCCCCAACTCGTCCGGCCAAGCGCTGCATCCAAACTGGCAGGAGCAAGAAAAGGAGGGGGGGGATTCAGATGAGAGGGGGTGCAAGGGTATAGCAAGAGGGGAGTGCAGTGGGCATGTCCAGAATGCCAGTTCTTTCAGGCCACTGATGTCATGCCTGTGCCCACCGTGGGAGAGCTGCGGAGGGACCAAGGCGCCCCTTTCTCTTGCCCCCCTCCACAGTCTCTTTTTCCAGGATGAATGAATCTTTCAGAAGCAGCAGCTCATTGTGTCCCATAATCGACGGCGATTATCCCAATTTTATGCAGCCTTCCCAGTGCGAGGAGGTTCCCTGAGCGCTGGCATTGAGGGCTGCTGCGATGCAGCAAGGACCACGAGGGGTTGTCCTGGCAACACTCTGTGGTTTAGAGAAGAGGATGAAGGGGAAGGAGGAAGCTCACAGCCACACACATACATAGCATACAAACACACTGCCTGCACAAACACCCTATAAAGAGAATGTATGGCTCAAAAGATTTAAGTTTTATCTTTATCTCCTAAAAGAAAATACAAATTCATGCATTCAAAAAAATTTAAACAAACTTCATGAGGTGTTTTGTGCTGCTTCATAATTTTTGAGCTACTGCGGTAAGTGTGGACATATGGTGCCAGTCATAAAATATGTCTACCTAATAACTAACGAAGTTTGCATTAGAGGCTGGTTGTGTGATTACTGGTCAAATTCAGGCTGTTATCATCCATGTGATAGCACAGACGGCCCATTATACACGTTTCCCACTGGTCTCTCGAGGAGCCCGATCCCCATTCTCTTGATTGGTGCATCACAATATGTTGTGATATAAAGGCAACTAGAGCAGGGCCAGGCTCCGGATATATCTGCCCCCTTTGGGCCTCACAGTCACTTGCATTACAGTGGGAAGAAATGAGCTCACACATACTGGCTGCCTAGGAGCTGTGACCACCACCAGCCCCTCAAAAGGAAGCTCTCAGCAAACACTCCAGGTTGTGCTGTGCATAAGAAGAGGGAGATAATTTCCAGGACTCTAAAGAAAGAGAGGCTTTATCACACTGCACCTCTAGATTATGCATCCCTACATGGTTGGGATTAATATGTTCAGGGACAGGTATCGATAGAGATGTCCACAGAGGGAAAGGTAATCAGTGGAAGTTCCAACAAAACAATACTGATGCAAAACTGCATGTGTTAAATATCAAATCCCAAATCACAACTGACACTGTGCTTTCCTTCCACAGTCAGTATGCTATTCTCCAACAAATAAACATTTTTAAAGATTATGTATTTTCTGCATAATATCTTTATACATTGTCTTTTTACATATTTGTGTCTCAGCTGTTTCTGAATGTTGTTTT